CATCAGCATGGATGCAACCCACTGAGGATTGCCCCAGTGAGAAGTGAAGGGCCAGTGGGGAGAACAAAGAGTTTAGAGAAGGGAGCCTGGTCAGAAACCCACTCCTGAGAACAGAGGTGGCATAGCACAGGGTTACAGCAGTGCCCATGATGGCTGCTCCTGCCAAGGGCCACATTAATAGCAGCTGTGCACAGGCTAACAGGCCCCATGGTAGGCAGTAAGAGCCCACAGCCCCAGATCCCTTCTCAAGTGCCTGGAAGGAGTCATTGTGGGCCCACACCCCCAGTCTTTTTCTCCAGCTAGAGGACCAGAGAGGGCCCTGCTGTGCTCAGGATACCCCCCTTATATCTCCTTACCCATCTTGGCTGCAGGGCATTGGCTACCATGTCTCTTTGTGGCCCCAAGCAGCTGGGAGAGAAGTCCCTGGGGAAAGGGACTCTCAGGGCAAGACTGTAGACCCCTGGAAGGAGCATGCCCTGTAGCCAGTGTGTAGATCAGGCCACGGGAAAGACTTTGTACCTGGAAGCTGAGACCTTCCCACACACAGTTAGCTGTCCTGGCCCCAATGCCCCCAGGGAGGCTGTAGGGCAGTTTGTCCCACTGTAATACTTGATTCCTCAGCAATGAGTGGTGCAACCCTGGCCAGGCTGCTCTGCCCTCCGAGCTCTACCCTGCAAGTTCTGCTGGTGGCATGGGGATAGTGGGCAGGTCTGCCTGATGGCTGCAGTAAGCATAGAGCGCAGATCTACCTCTCAGCCCAGGGCCCATGTGCAGGAAATACCTGGGAGGGAGGAATCACAACCTGCAGCACAGATGGGATAGATACTTCTGCAACAGGCATAGGCACACATGCCACCTCCCCTCTAAAAGGGGATATGAGCATCCTCTAGGAAGCAGCCAGGCAAACGGAGGCCGAGACACCAACAGCCCCAAGCCCAGCTGCAGGAAACACATGCAGCTCCCCAGCACCTGCTGCTCACACAGCATCCCCTGCTGCTGGAGAGTCACGGGATGGGGCTAGGCAGGAAGGTGCGAGAGTGAGTCCAGAATGTCTCCTCTCCTCTCAGGTGACAGCCTTGGGATGGACGGAGCTTATGGAAGGAGCGCAGTGATGGAGACATGTGGTGAAGGGAAGCAGACATCCAGGGTGGAAGCCTCCCTTGGCATGGGGCCAGTGGCCACAGCCCTGGATGGCCCAGCTCTACCCGGAGGAAGCTGTAAGTAGAGCAAGAGCAGCAGATTTTGAGCACTTTGGCAGCCCCCAGCTCTCAGTACCAGCCCTTCCCACGAAACAGTGAGACAGGCCTTTATCAGTAGTGAGCAGCTGCTACTGGAACTCACCGCACGGGACGTGGCAGTCACACTCACAGATGTCACAGCGCAGGAACCAGCGGGCCCAGCCCGAGTGCTTGGTGACACAGGCTGAGATCTTGATGCAGCCATGGTTGAGAAAGGCTCCCAGGTGGGCCTGGGTGCTGCAGGATGAGGAGCACCTCCCGGTAATGTCCCGCTCACTGATCTCAATGCGACCTCGCAGGCAGATCCCTGCAAAAGCAGGGCCAGAGCACGTCACAGGGTGCCCACCAGCCCTACAGCCCTCCTGCAGCAGGCTGGGGGAAAAGAGGGATCAGAGTCATGCCTGCACCCCTCCCGCCTGCTCCCCATGCAGGCAGGGTACCCCCTTGGGCCCAACGTGACACCCAGCAGTACTCACGGAGGCAGG